AAGCATATTGCGCTGTTCGTCTACTTTTTTGTCCATGCCGTATGCCAGAGCAGCTGCGGTTGGCTCATTAATTAATCGCAGTACATTTAACCCTGCAATTTTCCCTGCGTCCAGCGTCGCCTGACGCTGGCGATTATTGAAGTGTGATGGCACGGAGATCACTGCGTCTGTCACCTCCTTGCCTAAATACGCCTCGGCTGTCTCCTTCATCTTCAGCAGGATCATGGTCGAGATCTCCTCAGCCACGAAATGCTTCGTCTTACCGCGGTTTTCTACCTCGATCCTCGGCTCCTCTTCTGAATTTATGACTTTAAATAGCCAGTGTTTTATGTCGTCTTGCACTGCCTTATTGTTAAAATGACGTCCGAGTAGACGCTATGCATTGAATACAATGTTGGCAGGATTTATGGCCACCTGGTTCTTTGCGGCATCACCAATGAGGCATAAGCCATCAATGAAGGCCACGTAGCTGGGCGTTGAGTGGTAGCCCTCACCATTGACGATGATTTCCACCTTGCCGTGGTGGAAGACACCGACGCGGGAGTAGGTTGTACCCAAATCGATGCCAATAGCTGGACTTGTTGACATGCTTCCGTGGAATGCACGCACGTTTGCTTGTATGATTTGACAATGGTGACAAGCACGAGTGGTGCAACCTTTTATACAAATTGCAGTTAATCATGCAGAGCAGTTCATAATGCGCGCCCTTTCGCCTCCAACCAGGTGCTGCCACCTACAAATACTTTCTCTTCTTAGCTGTCAGCTGCACGCACGAAGGTGATGATGCATACCGCCAGTCGCCGCTTTCACTGCGCCTCTGATGGAGCGTTGGCGTGATCATTGGTGTCTGTGCCAAGTTGAAGTGTGAATGGCAGAAATGCAGAGGTACCAAGTCATTAACTCGTGACTGACAATGCCCTAATGACTATGAGGTGCCAAATAGGGAGGTGTCGCCCGTCCACTTCTCAGGCCGCCTTTACCAGAAGTGATTGTTTTTATTGCTCAAAAAAAGCGCTTCTTAATTTGCTGGTAATAATGCAGCCGACTGGGGAAGGAAGTAGCCGGTGCAGGTTCAACTGTGGATCCATAAGTGTGTATGTCGCACATATATGGAAAAAACTGGGATATTGTTCACGCTCTATCGGATACGGACTGAACTGTAAAGAATAGCTGAGGTTAGTGATGAAGGTGAAGGGCCAACTTCGTGCAGCCCATCCTTGTCACCGTCACAAATTGAGAAATACGAGGATTACAGGGGAAGAGGAACAATCTGAAGGAACCAAATGGCAAGTGTTACCTGTGACTACAGGAGTGACAATCTAAGAAAGGTTTCTGAGGCAAAAATTGGGAATTCAGTTTAGTCTTAGTAGATCCTATCGGTTTGCAATTCCTTAACATAAGTAAGGAGAGCAGCACTTCCAACTTCCCTCTGGGAAAGAGAAGACTGCATGAGACGAAGAGGACAAACGCTTAGTAGAGGAGTAGTCGGCACTGTGACACGTGCCACAGACGCCCTGGCATTCAACTGCCAGAAGCGGAAAATCGCCTACACGCACATTTACCCTGCATCGTATGTCCGCAACAAAATATTATGTTCAGCAACTGCCATATGAAATACAAAATGTACTGCAAAGCATGAAAAAGTGGAATCAGTCAGATGAAGCACTTTAAATTATCAAGTCTTATTCCATCGACAGTGAGTTGCGCATACAATGAAGGGTCTTTTGCCATGGTGGAAGATTTGACCAACTCCCTTCCTTCTACATCCCTCTCTGCCCATCCATCCACACCTTATTATCCTAATTCACCTGCCTTCACTGACATCTGCCTATTTAGCTTCACTCTTCTTCTTAGTAGACGCTTCAAGTACTGAAGGTGATGAAATCGTTGTTCTATTCATGTCCTACTGCTCATTGCGCTCTCCGACTCTCTGCAGTCATGTCTTGTGTGATTGGCACAGCACACAGCGCATTGATAAGCGTCATGATCAAACGGGTGGATTCAATGATAAATGTGCTTAAGAATCTTACGCCGGGTGGACTGCATTCGCACACAACGAGTACCGCGCTCTGCTTTGTCACACCCAAATTGAGTGGTGCCACCCAACCGCCACGGAGACATAGAAATGATAAATGTAAGGACTGAACACAAACAAGAATGCACCAAACCTTATTTCAAGGGTTTAAATGGACTCACATGAAGAGAACTTTAAACGCTTCAGCTCAAAAAATTTCTTTAGGCATTTCTCGGAGCACATGATGCTCGAATTTACTTGCAATTATCCAAAATAAAACCTTACAGATATCTTGCAATATTTCTTACTTTGCAGTTCAATATGTCCGCCAGTGTGGTGCGGTTGTGGCGTCATAACTTAGGCGTCCAAATTACCCAGAGTGAGAAGCTCGTTGTTGCTTGATGTGCTGAAACACATGCAGTAACGCTAATACTGAAGTGTAAAATCTTTAGGGTGTCATTTGCAGGTCAAAGGGCAATGCAATGCTACCTACATCTTGCACGTGTGGCACCATCCCGAGAATTCTTCGTCCAGCAAACGTAGTGAAAGCACCTCAGAGTATATCGGTAGAGAAATGTTGGTGCAGCGTGTTACGCTGAAGTGGTAAAATGGAGAGATTGCTCATTTATGAAGGCCAAGCCATCGAGCTGAAGCAATTGTTATGCCAAGGCCTTCCAGCATCCGGGTCGACGTGCACACTTTTACCCACATTTCTGCTGCTAGCAGCCATCCAACATCAATCACTGTTCACATGGTAAAAATACTCCTTTGTTGTAATTCAAGTAAAGCCATTTCCACACTTTTCATCACAATTTATTTCTGCTGCACATTAAGCGTTTCTTCCAGCTGGGACTACCAAAGTAACTGCAGGGAAAGCTGCTGTTTTGAAAGTAGCTGAAGTGAGTTGTGTCATCGAGCAGCAAAATGATTGTGTCGACCGCCGCGGAGGGCTTTCAAATAAGGATGTAGAAAGAAGGGCATCATGAAAAGAAGTTTAAAGCGTAAAGACCACTTCACAGACAGTGGGAGGTGATATTCCACAGCTTCGTTGACCAACGGTAGCTTTGGAATATTAGATTTCGCAAAAGATGCCCAGTGATAAGCGCTACAATCGTATTTACAAATGTAATTAAGAGTCCTACACAAAGTGGACTGCATTCCCACACAAGAAGTATCGCGGTCCGATTTCGAGAGTGCGCTTGTTACACCCAAATCGAATGGCTCCACCCCAGGGCTGATAAAATTGCCACTGTGGTTTGTTCTCAAAAATGTATGAGACTGGTAGAGCGATTCTAATTGTGTGTTAACGTGGAAGTTTAGTATATGCCAATAGGCAGAGTTTGATTATTCCACTTTAATCAGGCTCCTTAATTCGGCCTTAGTGCAGTTCCAAAGGTGTTGAATGAACATTCAACTACAGCTGGATGATGACAGTAGAAGGAGAGCAGTAGAAAAGAAGGTAGTTGAGGTGTTGAGGACCCGCACCTATTCTTGTGTGATCTAAATTTTCCGATTAAGCAGAATATAGGCAAGAAGCAGCCTGATCGTCTCGACGAAGTTGCGCGAGTGAATGTCTTTGCGAATTATGTCTTCGGCCTTATGAATATGAGTACGCCACAGGAGGTAAAGGTGTTTCTTATGGCCTTGTCCACATCCACTGAACCTGGTAAGGACCATTGAACCAAATGAATATTCCCGAGACAGAAATTGAATTTGGTGTGCTTCCTAGTGCAACTGCTGCACACTTTTCTTCCAATCATACAGCCTAGAATATAGCTGCATGATTGTATTTTCCCCCACTTGTCCTACTATTGAGTGACCAGTTGTGACATGTGGCAGGGCCAAGAATAGCTGGGAATAACCAAACCATGACATCACTGTTCGGGTAGTCTCAAAACCTTCCTAAAGCCAAGTTAACAGTTAGAGTTGCTCCCTCATTAAAAGGCAAATTATGTTGAAGAGGAGTTGAATGTTGGGTGCTTGCAAAAAGGTGAATGAGGTGGGCCACGGAAGGATGAGAGCACTTTTCTGCACACATTTTACCTAGCTCAATTTTAAGCCAGCAGTCCTGAAACAGTCACACATCCACATTGATAATCCCTCTGAGTGTAGATGTTGTTCCTGTCTAGGGACAGTATCACGTGAAATGGTAGAGGAGTACGCTGGCCATCTCGCATGCCCAATGCCAGTTGTAAGACCACTTGCCCAAGAGAGAGCCATCGGATAAAAGAGGGACTCGCAATAGTTCCTTTGGAATAAAGTTTCTCATCTATTCCTTCCAGTCACTTTCGATTATATCCAGCCAGCGGACAGAAGAAATTGGGTGTTAAACCACTTTAACAGGTAACGTAAACAGCAGCGACATATTCTACATCCCTGTCTGCAGCGTATGCCCTTTTTCCCTCTTGCTCATGCTTTAATTGCAGTAGCAACCACCAGGGTATTTGGCTTTGATGTCCCGGTTGACTTTATACGTAGTCATTGTAGCATACCGAATCCTTCATGGAGACGAAAGACGTCACAATAATATGGCAGGCATCATCGACATGTGAAAGTGTTAGGGCACGCCGTAGGTTTGATCCGTGGGCCATACCTCCTAGCGGAAGGCTAGAGGCGGAGCCTTAGCTGCCCCTGAATGCAGGCCAGAATTAGAGAAACAATTTAAGCATTGCATCAGCAGTACAAATGCCAGTCACTGATTCTGCTTCCTAATAAATCATCGCTGTGACGTGTGCTTACGTCGTCTTTAAAAATACCATAATGTAATACCACCCTGATCTACTGATTTTTAAGCAGTAGCATGCAGAAACATGAGGCTTAAGTCGAGGGAATTGTAGAGCTCCTTTTTACAAATTTACCCATTCCTGAGAGCAGCCATTACGGCTCAAGTGACTTGTTAACATATTGTGTGGTCACTAAAAAATTTTCCAAATTTAGTCACGGTTCTCACGTCGTCTCAACTTAGGCACTACATAAATTGGTTTTGTTTCATAATAGGCGAACACATTATACACTTACTGAGGACCCGTACATAGATTGCAGTCAAAATACTTTTGTAGAATCACTTAAATAAGAACTTGGCAAATTTTGCCGCACACAGTTTGTGATCCATCTTATTTCGCGAGTTTAAGAAAGGTCAGAAATGTAGACACCAGTCTCCTGCGAATCGGCACATGGCTGTTCTATCGTGTGGGACTATGCCTTCATGAAATGCTTCCATATAATTGTCCATATTCAGTCATTAGTAGCTTCAGTTACCACAAGATGCATTGGCAAAATTATCATCCTTAGGCAGACGCACATCTGATTGTTTACCGACCTCGACAAAAGTGACACGTCAGCTCAAATAAGGATCCCCATGATCATGGAATATAATAAGTGAAAAACCATGGTAAAATGTGATTTTTCTATGGTATGTACCCACAACCAACTAATATGCAAATGTTTGAACTGATACACAAGCAGAACGACAGTGCGCAATGCTATTGCCCATGAAAATGTCCTCAATGGAAATTCGCGAAAAGAAGGGAAGAAAAAGTTTGCTCAATTTGGAGGAATAAATGCCTAAAGTTGGTTGAAAATGTCAGTCTGATGTTACCTAACTCACTTTTTTGCAGTACTTATGCGTGATCATCTAGGCTGCTACGTCGTGGAATCTATTGCGCCTCAATTCCATCATCTGGATGATCCCCTCCCTAAAGATGTAGCAATTAGGGGCCTTTTTGGGTTTGAGGCAATGGTTTAGGTTGTAATTCAAGTTAAAATAAAGAAAGATAAGTATTTAGCTCTCTTAGCAAATGTCAGTCTGTGTTTGAGGCCACTGTTCTAGTGGGTTCGCAAGGCACAGTCACTCTTCCACCTCACGTTGAGTTAAAAAGCTAAAATGTAGCGCAAACTATTCGACTGTCCCAATTCACATTTCCTTACTGTTCTGTCCTCTCGGCTCCTGCTCACTTCCTCTCATTGCCTCTGTGAGTGTGGTGGCGTTGTGGTGGTGGTGTGGTGGTTTCTAGTCAAGGGTCGATAGGTGTGGGTTTCAGTCTGATATTACCAATCGGATTACCCCATATGCAACAGGCGAAGTTTGGCAGAGAATATGTACCTGTCAAGTCTAAGAAAAGATCAGGAAGCCAAATCATGAAAGTATCAATTCAACTGGATGAAGTACTACAAAGCCAAATGCCTACAGAGCATGGGCCTGGGCAGGGGAGAGCAACGGGGATTCGCTTGACGACATAGCACCCTCGTCACATCTCATGTGGTTTCAAGTTGACTTTGTCGATTACTGTCCCTATTCTACTGAGTGTGTACTTGGGAGAGATAGAGACCATATCGCCTGGAGGAAGTACAATGGCAGGAGGCTCAGGAGCATGCATAACCGATTTGTGGAGTTTCTGCCCTATTTGCCAGAAGAATACATTATAAATGCAGAACTCAAACAACCTAAGCTCGGAAGAAGTTTAAGCTTACATTGCATCAAATCACGTTGCGAATTTCGTTTGTTCCACCACACTCCTCTAAGCGACAAGCCCTCTATTATAACGACCCTTCAGATCTAGCCATTACCGTCTTCGCCGAGTTCCCTTTGGACCGTGAAAACCCCTTCAAGGCATCATTTTGGCAGGGCATCACACCCTTTACAGACCAGTCTCACAGAATGAAGGGCTTAATGCCAAAAGCACACTGTGGTAAGCAGCTGCTTCAAAGATGAAACTGCAGATGAGCCAAGTATGTTTAACGCCTAAGATAGAGACGAATGAGGAATTTTACTTGTGAAGCAATACTGAGTCAATATCAAAACCACAAAAAGAGATGGTGTGCCACTTTACTGCTTTTACAGCGTTCTAGCCGTGTGAGGACAAGGAATTACGAATGCCTACTGGAGATTCGTCTCCCTGCAATGAGCGCTGGCTTTACTTCCACTAGTGATCCACTCGCATCCCTTGGTGTGCTTTTGTTTGTTTGCTACTTTTCACATTCTCTTTCTCTCCACTATGTACGTCTTAGTGGTCTGACTCTGAAGTATACGTAACCAGACCAGCTACGGTGGAAAAACAGCAGTGTGTGGAGTGGGTTTAAACGGGAGACCATAAATTGACCTTCTCCGAGTTGGTTGCCAGTAGGTGGGACGATTTCTACACCTCCAACCACAAACATGTAGTCGCTGACATATATAAGTCAAATTTTTCGTGTGTACTTAAATGTATGTATATATATAAACACACGACTAAGTACGTTATATGTACTTATCAAAAGCACACTCATAATTTTTAGACTTATGCTATTTTTGCAGTATAAACGTATACGCACTATGACATGCCATTTACACATAAAACTACTTTTGCATCACTCAAGCAATTCTCTAAGCCAAGGTACGAGTAGCACAGGCCAAAATATTTTACTTTCTTCAATTTAGGTGGCCCGTAATAGGAAAAACAAATCTACGCAGATGAACTAGTGAAATTAGGCCAAAAAAACAGAGACATATAGCCTGCCTCATTTTAAAAAGTTACTTCCTTTTACTGGACTATTTATTTTTAAAAACAGTCCTTTGTCTTTATATCTCTTAACTGCACATTTTTCAAGGTCGTGTGTCACTTTAGAAATTCCAGCACAGAGTTCTTGTGTCAGTTGGCTTTATGTGAGTCACTTTAATGCTTAAAAATCATACCTTCTACATGAACCTTACCAGTTTCTAATGTTCTAATCCACTGGTTATGAAAGACACCTAACGTATGCTACCAACACGATGTGTCCCTCTGAGGAGGTAAAGGGCATGTCAGCATAAGCAAATGTTTTTATTTATTAACATTGTGCAGAAGGACTAATAAATTTTTGTACAACTAAAGACACATGCCAATAAGACTTTAGCTTAGGCCTGCAAAGACTGCAAGGCTTAGATTATTAAGATTGCAATTTTTGAATTCGACAACACATTCCTACTTCCGGTAGGTTCTAAGTAGTTTTGACACATTTAGCTGGATCTGCATAGGTCAAAAGCTTATGTGCTGCCTATACTGATTTTAGATTTCAAAAATGTGGCGTCATCACTTTTTTCGCAAGTTGCGTAACAGAAGAAGAGGCAAAGGCGATCGTCTGCAAACTCTTCCACGACAAGAAACAATCCCTTCGCCTAAGCCACACGAATACGTAGATGCGCAACCTCCTTCACGGCAAGAATCTAACTTGTATACAAATCTACACAACAGTTCGGGATCACCACACTCCCAACCAAATACACCTACAGGGACATTTCCTGTTGAGGCAATTTGTGGTTTTACAGCCACACAACCTGATGAGTGTGGCTTTATTGTGGGTGATCTTCTTCATGTGATCGACACCTCCAGCGAACGGTGGCTGGCAACGAATTTACGAACAAAGGAGGAAGGTCTCATACCTGCGAATTGTGTCACATCTGATGTGTCTTTGTCAATTGCTCTTGAAGCCTGGTATGATATTAATCGTCTTGAAGTGGAATGCAGACTTCTCCTGCCCTCAGTCCAAACTGGCACCTATATCCTCCGACCGTGTAAAGGTGAGCACCTTTCACAGACTGTCCTTTTGCAACTTTATATTGTACACGAAAATTAGCAAACACAGGGGCAACCTTCGAATTATTTTGCAAGATTTTGCAAACAGTGACGCAAAACAGGCCCGCCTTGACACATTCGGTTAATGACATGGCGACTAGCCACTGCATGGAATGCTCTTGACCAAAGAAAAGCGTACTGCTCGCACAGGAGCAAAGGGATGGTATGGTCATCGCCTTATGTCTGTGTTGTGCTTTTCAGATCCCAGGAGCCCATATTACCTATCTGTCCGAGCCTGCGGAGTTGACATTAAGCACTTTCAAGTATATTTTGATGGCCAGGCAAAGAAATACCATATTTCTGGAAATGAACAATTCCCTACTCTTAAGGATTTAATCATGCACTACCACTGTAAGTTGCCATATTCAAAGAAAGGAAGATTAAGCTATTGCCAAACCATCTTTTGTTAAAGTATGTGCGTATTTTGTTAAGCTCTACGCTGTTGAGATTCGAATTAAGTAATTGCTCTGGTCTACACGATTATTTTACACTTCCGGATATGCAAAATCATCAGTCCTTAGTTTTGTTAGGCTGGGTTCTGGTGTTTTATTTTGGGCAGTTCTCGCCAAGTTGTGAACGTTTTGCCAAAGTATGCTGAATGATGCTTTTTTTGGTGCACTATATTTAGAGCACCTATAACCGCCCCAGAAGCCATCACATCAGAGGCTGGTTGAATTTGGCGCTCACTTTGTGGGACCTTGCGTGCAATTGTATCAAAGATAGCGGTTAAGTGCCTTTTGACTCGATGAATTTACCTACCTCTGGATGGAAGTTCTTCACTATTAGAGTCTTAGAAGAAGTATCTGAATATGTTTAGAGCATAAGTTCCACACGTCGACATGGCTTTGCTTCCTTCATTTGGTTTGATTTTGTCGACAGTCGGTATTTCGCTTTCTTCCCCACATTGACTGAAAGATGGGAGGAAAGACAATCGTTTTCTAATAACGTTTTAGTGGTCCGCTGGAAGTGCTTTATAAAAAAAAATAGAATTCAAAATAAACAGGCAAGTCTTTTCAGTAATTCTTCTCTTTTCCAATTTTTTTCTCTCTCTCAGCACGTGGTTTTACTACTTTTTAATGCCCTTTCTCCCTCAGCGCGTCCCATCGACGGTAAGGTGGGTCTGATTGAGCCTTGTCCACGTAAAGCAGATTATGTCATTCAACACAAGGATGTGAAGATGGGGAAGGAAGTGGGAAAAGGCAACTTCGGTGTGGTCTACCTGAGTCATATACGTGGCATGGAAGTGGCAGTGAAGAGGTGTTTCAACATCACAAATGACCAAGCCTTTCGCGAGGTGGTAGAAATGATGCAAAAACTTTCACATCAATGCATCGTGCACTTCCATGGCATCTGCTGTGACGCTCCCGACGGCAGAGTGCTCATCATCACCGAGTTCATGGTCAACGGTGCACTTCGAGACTTCCTTAAGACCCCTGAGGGACACCAACTCGACTACCCCAAACTCGTTTGCATTATTGTTCAGGTTAGTGCTCACTATTGCTCACCCGCCCTTCCTGACACACACAGAGAAGGCAGTAGAAATTTCAAATCTTGACCTCCTTTTCGCATTCTGTTTTGCAAGACGAAGTAGAGGAGGGAGGGGCATAGGACATTAATACTAAGAAGCTTCATCTGGTTGCGTAGCAAAACACTTTTAAATGCTTGTCTGCACCATTTCCACCTGCCACTTATTCACTCCATTTTGCCTCAAAATGGAAATAGGTTGTCATCGATTAGCTTAAACTGAGCAACTGTCATTGATCAAGTCCTGTGACTGCTAAATATTAAGATGATTCTAACGTCACTGTTCTGCTTTTACAATCACTTTCTGCTGTAAACCCTAGTAGTTATTTTATCGTTTCATCATGGGCTTAGGCAAGAGGCGTTCTTTGTTTGAAGTGACCTACAACTCAATCTGGCGTTGGAATGTTATCAAAATGCTTCAAGTGCACTTATTAACCGCGAAAGTTGAATCGTCTTGTTATCTCACCGCCACTGTTACAATTACCAAAGAAGCGGAAATTCGTCATATTCAGCACAACTACTCATTAGCTATCAGTAGCATACTATATTTGCATAAGACGGGATTTGTTATGAGGGATAATTAGCAGCATTAAAATTGCATTAAATAAACCACTGAGAAGACATGTCGCATAGGAAGTGGAGACTGATCAACGGTACCCACACGTGTTTGGTCTGTTGACCTGCCAGTCAGTCGGTCAGCAATCATAGACGCACATGTTTTATTTGTTTGGCTGAACGTCCAGATTGTGAAAGGCATGGTGTACCTAGAGGAAGAGGGAGTGGTGCACGGAGATCTACGAGGAGCGAACGTGCTGGTTGACAAGGATGGCTTTGTGAAGCTCGCTGACTTCGGATTGACCAAAATTCTTGATTTCAATCTGGACTATGATAATGGTGAGTTCTAGTGCGTGTCTACTTCGCGCAGCAGAGGAATATCACACTCGCTTATTTACAAATGGTCTAACTTTCCATCGCTCCCAGTACGGTTTTACTTGTACAATAAATGGCGTCCTTTTTATCCCTCTTCCCCTCCTTCGAGAGGTTTTCCCTTACCGATGGACGGCACCAGAGGCGATGGAGGGCGGCTTCCATCCGAATGTTAAGTCCGATGTCTGGTCCTTCGGTGTCCTTATGTTCGAAGTGCTGACTTATGGAGAGACGCCGTACAAGGGTTGGTTTGCTTAACCAATTGGAATCATTTGGTACCAAATTAATCCTGATTTTAAATATTCTTTAATTTTTACCAAAACTTATTTCAGACTGCACGCATATTCAGTTGCGTAAGTTCCTTTCGGAGGGTGGACGTCTGCCTTCGCCACAATATCATGGCTGCGAGTGTGAGGCAAGAGTTTATTGTATTATGAGATCCTGCTGGGACTCAAAGCCGGAACAGCGACCAACATTTAAGAAGCTCAAGTATGAAATTGAACAGTGCATTCTTGACGGAGAGAAAGCCTTCGGCATCTAATTCACCTTGTTGCTGTCTAACTTTCACTCAATTAGATTTTTTTGTGGGAAGTGTAAATAAGAAAATATATGGCAAATTTAAAGGCAAAATGTACGCTAAACCAACGTAACTAAGAGATCGTGAATTAAATACATTTGCTCTGCTTCAAACTCGACTTTCGCTGTTGCTATTTAATACATTTCAGATTGTGAGACTGTTGTGGGAGACTTCATCTGTGCTTTCATCACTGTCAGGTGATGCCGAAGTGGTGGTTTAAGCTTTGCCAAAGATGTGATAAGAAATCTGAGCCTCCAGTCGTTGCAAATTGGGGTGTGTGCTTGCGTGGTCTGGATCCTACCGACCTCCTAACCAGATACTTAGCAAATTCAACTTCAGTGTAGATCCCAACACGGATGAACACAGACGACTATGAAAAGGGAGTTGCTGCGGGTGCGTAAGTGGCCAATGGCATCAGATATAAGCATTCAAATACAGAGTCTCTCAAGTCCGCAGAGGTTGCATTTCGATCTTGGCGGCAAAAGCGGAATACCAGAGGACGCCCACCTCTTCTCTGCCCCCAAGGAACTAGCCGTGGACCCTACAGCGGCTTTGAGGAGGGGTGGGCAAACCAAATGTGACTGGAAGGGGATCGCATTGCTAGCTAATTTTCACGTCACCGAAGATACGCATGCACAGATAGCCTGGTCAGACATCCGTAGTGCATAAGCGACAATGCCTGCTGTAGTGATTCACAGTTTGAGGTGAAACTCTCAGGAAGGCAAGCATTTTGGCTTGTATGATCTCTGGCTCAGGTGTACTCCTTGAAGGATGACTAAGTGTCAAACTAGTACAGCCGTAAGTGATTTGCATGAAGAACGGTCTCACCAGGAACGTCGAATGGTGCTTAGCATTAGCGTTCAAATGGAACCCTTCAGGAATCGCGACAAAAAAAGGGCGCATTCCTCACGTCGATACCAATTCATCGCACCACTAGTGAGGCACTGGCAGGAGCAGCATCTGTAAATTTGGAAGTAAAAATGGTGTCTACTTAATCCCATCAGTAGTAAAGCACATTGCTGCTCCCTTAAACTTGTGAAAAGGTAGCCACACCTCGTCATCCTGGCCCATTCACAGCCAACTTACGCCCTAATGTGATGCAATCATCGTATTTTTGCTTTTTTTTTTTATTTGCCTGCACTCAAAACAACCTATTTGACAAAAGTGAAAGTTTACGGCAAAAAATTGTTCAATAAACCAATTAGCCAAAACGGTGGTATTTGTGAGGTCAGTCCTTTTTGCAATGTCAAATTTTAACAATGTTGCCACGATGCTCATTCATAAGGGAGACAATATAAAATGGGAAATGAGTAAGTGCTTCCTTTTATTACGCAAAATTCCAGCGTCACGCATATGTGACGGTCTACACAAATCGTGCCAGGGCTAAAAAATGGCAAAATCTCAGCTGATCGCACCTAGTCCATCTTTTTTCTGATCAAGAGCTGGAATGGTTAAAAGGCTGTGCAGACTAATGATGCTCTCAAGTATTAGTTTACCAGCTGCCTATTTACTTCCCAGTTCTAACAACTAAAGCCAGCTATAAACTACGCTGTCAAGTTCTTTGAGCCAAGGTGGTACACGCCACCGTAGCCAAATAGCATCACATGCCTAACACTGACAGCGGTGTTCTAATAGTCATCTACAAGTGTGAAATAGGTTTGGGCACTTCGTTATCATTGGATTAAACAAGGCGGGTGGACCACGATGACCTGTGAGGAATATGTTCTGCGAAATTTGAGGCAATTGTTCTTCCATTAAGAATATCGTGCATTATTTCTGTCATTTTTAGTCTAACTTATATGTTGTAAACGTCATCGAGTAAGTTCAGATAACGTAAACCGATAAACACCACATGTCACATATGTGTGACGAAAGAGCGAGAGTAGGGTGATAGAAGCAGAGCATGCATATGATGCTGGTAAGTTACTTCATTTTATGTTCCCTAAACACTCTACCAGCATCACATGCTTGTCCTGCTTCGATCACTCTACCTGAGCTCGCATGTCACACATACGTGACAAGTGGTAGTAACCAGTTTATGCTAACTAATTTCACCAGACTCCGATTCATATGGACTGGTTGGATTCAAAACAGCAAGACAAATGCAAGATGGACTTGGTGCAGGGCCAACCGCATCCTGTTTGGCGGTTTCTGGTCCGCATCAATTTGAGCAGCGCATATTCCGATTGGGTCATGGTGGTCAAATCTTCTTATAGAGTCCACAAGAAGGAGCGATACAAAGCTACCATTTAAAGTTGATCAACACTTGTTGATGAATATCATGGCATTATGTCAGTGTAAAAATGTATTGCTGAGGAATGCCTTGGCTCAAGGTGCTCGGGGCCGTGCCGTTCCAGTTGGCGTTAGATCCAAGTACTCGGAAGCAAATTTCCCTCATCTTATTTGCTCTAGAACTGGAATGTTTTGTGATAGCATTAGTTGACACAGCCCTTAGATCACTCCAGAGAAAAGGACGGGAACATCCCGTACTGGTTTTTGCCATCTTCTGACCTCCACAAATCCATCCGCAACATAATTCAGCACGACTGAAGATAGTGGGATGATGGAGACTATGTCACGTGTGTGGCGCCAGTGGGACGAGTATTAAAGGAGAACACTTACTTATTTCCCGAACTGAGTTATCTCCTTCATGAATAAGCCCTGTAACAACGTTAAAATTTGTCACAAAAAAGAAGGCCTGACCTCTCAAATAACATCGCTTTTGCAAATTGGCCTAGTTGGCAATTTTTGGTCAAAAGACTTCAACTCTTGTCAAATACTTTGACAAAATTATTTACAAACGCATCAGGGTGTTGGTTGGCCGTGAATAGGCCAGAACGACAAAGCATGGCCACCTTTCCACAAGTCCGAGGTGACGGAAATGTGCTTCACTACTGATAGCATTCAGTAGACACTATTTTTCACCTTCACATTTGCAGATGCTGCTCTTGTTAGTGCCCGAACTGGCGAGAGGGGGAAGGATTAATGAAAGCCTCCGCTCCTCATCACCCACTTTTATCCTGATTACTGGCAACCAGCCACACTGCTTCTTGCGAGCACTGTCCATATGTCCATGCTGAGGACTGCGCGATGCTTTCGAGTGAGTCTATTCTACACATAAATCACCTGAGTAAAATTATTCAACCCGGAGCAATAGCGGAAAGGAGATCGGCGTGACCTCGGATGAAATCGCAGACTAAAGGATTTACGAAAAAAAAAATGATCAGTAACTATCAAGGAGTACGTTTTATGCATTCAATTTGGTCTGTTAACCTTGCTGGCTTAATGTAAATAATTCTAACAGTGGTAGAGCTTCCGATGTGCCTCCGTTGTGGGGCCTGCAAGATCGAGGATTTCTCCTCTTTCACACACCAAGCCAACAACAAGGATGGAGGAGGCAGAAAATGAATTTAGGTGCATGATGACATGCCAGAGCACTGGCTTAAACTACGGGTTTACGTTGGAGAAGAGCAGCACATGGCATCAAACACTGCACCTCATCGATACCCTCCACACCAGCCCCTCCACAGATTGCCTTCTCAACCCGAACCATGTCTATTGCCGTCTTTCCATCCAAGCCTGACCTAAGACCCCTAGAGCCTCTCAAGACACCGCATCACGAAGACCTGGCAAGCAGAGATGTCTCATTTGATAAAAAAGTCCATCACTTTATTATCAAACTCGCGTATTTACGGGTGATACTCATTCCTGCTGTAGCCATCGGGATCACGGTGAGGGAAGGTGGGCGAAGTGATGACAATGCTAATGACGATATTGATTTACACAGATGGTAGGAAAGGCAGTACCTTCTACTGCTGCTGATGCTGATGATGGTGGCGGTGGTGGTGACCGGAGTTGGATTGTGGTGAATGATGCTGCGCCATTAAGCGAAGCAGTTCGCTAAGGGCTTCCGACTCCTGGAGGGCCATCACAGCTCTTGAAGACGCAGAAGCGGAGACAGATGGTTGCAGTGGTGGTGGTGGTGCCGGTGGTGGTGGAGGTGGTGGCAGGGGCTGAGTAGAACTACTGCTATTGGCACCAGCACGAAGATGGTGTTGGTGTTGGTGTTGTTGTTGTTGTTCCTGCTGTTGAAGATGCTGGTGCTGTTGATGACGGAGGGGTGTTGAGTCGACTGCATTTGCCGCAGCGGCAATGGCGGCAGCCACAATGGCCGGATTGGGAGCGTCGTACAACTTAAGGAATTGTGACAGTTGTGACATTTGTGCCAACTGAAATGGACAAGGAAAGGGAAGGGAAGCGACTCGGTGCCTGCAATCTGACGGAGAATAGGTTTCAAAGTTGATTGGAGGTATTCCACGTGGTCAAACTCACTTTCGGTGAAAAATTCGCTAAATTCGAGTAGTAGTCCATGGACCATGGCGAGGGCTGCATTTGAGGCGACGGTTGTAATTCCTGTTGCTGTTGTTGTTGTTGTTGAGACAGGAAGACCGATGGGTTGCGGTGAAATCCAGAATTGGAATTGGATAATACAGAGGAGGAAACGGAGGTAGGTGCTGTCACCGCTGTCGCCGCTGTCGCCAAAGACGATGTCGACGAAGAGGACGCCAAAGAAGGCGTGGGCGGTATTCTCGTCTTCTGTTGCGACTGTTGGCTATAGCCTCCGCTGTTCTGCATCCGATATTGTGATTGTGGTGCTGGTGCTGGTGCCGGTGCCGGTGGTGGCGGTGCGAAGGACGATGGCATTGACGAGTGCTGCTGGTGATGATGGTGAAAAGTCGGCGGTGGTTGCGCAAGTCGATTTGGCGGTGTCGGTGGATGTTGGTGTGATTGTTGCTGTTGTTGTTGTTGTTGCTGCTGGTGGTGGATTTGAGAAAACAACATCATCATCACCTGCTGTTGTTGCTGTGGAGTAACTGTCTGCAGGAAACGTTGCAACTGCTGCATTTGCTGCTCCCACTGCTGCTGCTGCTGTTGTTGTTGTTGTTGCTGGTACGCCATCTGATAGCGATGCATGACGTCAGCGTTCCTCGCTTCACCGATTGATGTGTGAGAACGGAGTGCTGCAGCAGTAGCGACATCCATCACGGCGTCTCTCGAGTGCTGCTGCTGCTGCTGCTTCTGCGACGGCGGCAGAGTAGAGCCTTTCTGTCCACCACCAGCAGCAAAACTGGCAAGCATTTGATTCATCTTCTCCACACTTTCGACTGGTATACCACCAGCTCTCGTAGCCGGAATGGAAGACCTCTGCTGCTGCGACTGTTGGTGATGTTGGAGTTGTTGGAAGTTTCCAGAACGCGCCATGGACGAGGCAATGAATTGGTCTTTCACGAAGGCGTTGATAAGGGCCGGCTCGGTTGGAATTGCCTCCACTGCAGAAGAGAAGAAGGGAAGGAGCAGCTGACAACAATCCCTTCGTCCCAACTAGTAGGGCCACGTCAATCCCACTTTTGATGTCTTTATGCCATTTCATGTGTTGTTCGTTAGAAAATGGATTTAAAGGTGGTAAAGATGAGTGAAGCAGTTAGGGAGATTGAAAAAGCACGGAAAGTTAGATTGATTACCACCAGCTAGACATGAAGAAATGAAGTGAAGAACTCACTTGAGTGTGCAACAGCAAGAGAGGAACCAGAAGCGCACTGAAAGCGAGCAGAGGCGGTAGATGAAGAAGGCCGTCCGCCCAAACCACCACCGAAGGGCGAGGGTGGTGGTGGTGGTGGTGGTGGCGGCGGCCTCAAACCCCCTCCAGAGGTAGAAGAGTACCTCCCTGCTCCACCGCTGACATTACTACTGCGCATCGACAGCATCGCCGTTGCTTGTTGTTGCTGTCGCGGCATAGAGGCAGTCGGACCGCTAGGGGGCACCCCAGTGGGCGGATAGAAGGTGCCCCGTGCGTGCGTGGTAGCCCTGATTGGACCCTTGAGATTTAGTGGCTGGTCTACTGATGGTACAAAGCATTTTGAGGAGGTCAACAGGCTTGGCTCATTCATTGCCAGATGCGGCGAGGCGGGTGGTACCGCTGGCGGCGGTGGCGGCGGTGCCCGAGCCTTCGCCGTTAGTTCCATCGGCTGCTGCTGCTGCTGCTGTTGTTGTTGGTGCAACTGTTGTGAGGCCTCCGAGGTTTTAGAAAAGTACTGTTGCATCAAAATCTGCATTTGCTCCTTATCCTGTAATGAGAGGAGGGAAAGAAATGAGCCTAAATAGGAAAAATGAGACGTACAAAAGGAAAGTTAAAGCCAGAGGCGCCAAAATCCGCTGCGGCTGCAGCAGCAGAGGCCATGTAGTTAGTAAATCGTTTCAGTGGTGGAAGTGATGCAGAGGGATTTGGTTGAGGCAGTTGAAATGATGCAAGCTGCGAAGGTTGTGCCTCCGAAGCAGTGGTAGCGGCCATAAATTCGGCATCGGTGCGAGCGCAGCTGCTAAGATTTTGCACTTCTGACGATGCGGAGGAGACAGACGAGAGCGAGGAGGGAAGACCGATTGACCGATCCCAAATATTCCGCAGCGATGAGTACTTTGACATGTGAATGCCGCTGGAACAGGGAGTGGAAGCGACCCCTGCCCGAGCTTCGATCAGAGTCGACGCGTCCCCGACGGAAACTGGCTCAGGTGTGACAGCGATTGGGCGCTGGTCACCTGACGGTGGAGAGACACTCCTTATGGTAATTGGATCGGTACTGGGTGGCGCAGTGGTGAAGTAGAGCTTGCTGTCAGAGCTGGCTCCATCCAGCTTGAGTAGTGGTGAGGGCCAGCAGGAGGCGTAGGTGGGTGAATAGGCATCGCAGAAAGAACAGACCGAATCGGGGGGCATTTCCGATGTTGCCTCCTCTACACCACTCATTCTTGCCATTTTAGTTGCATTTGCTAGCATGCTTTTCTTCCTGTGATCTGTAAGGCGATGTCAGTGTGATGTAACGTCAGTCAGAAAAGGCACAGCAAATTACCGGGCTGCGGTTACCACCTTAAAATGGAGAATCTGTGGGAGGCAATTCAATCAAAGAGTTGAACGGACAATCAATCGCATCTATCTATCACTGACGGTCACCCAACGGTTCCACCTAGACCCTTCAAACGCGTTTAAAACTAGTGCACGTTTGTCCATGGTCCTAAATGTTTGTGTTAACGGAAGGACTCGTCGATTGCCCATCCAAAATCGGACACTTAAATCTGGGCTGGAAGCCACTTAAATTTTCTACTGGTGAGCAGTTGAAGTCTTCCGCGCGAGTAAAGACGGGCATCCAGGAAACCATGTGGCAGCTTTAAGGTCCCTTCAGCATCAAATCACGACGATGATGGTTTGCCGGGACCGATTTTTAATTTGAAAACACCCACCTTCCACGATGGCAGTAGCAAAGCATTTGAAATTCTACAGTTTAACAAAGGTGTTAAAAAAGCTAGCCCTTCGTCCGTTTCAAAATAAAACGAGGGGGATAGTCACCTAACTTTGAAAAAAAGCAACCCAAAAAGGTGCGGTGGACATAGGTAATTAGCTGCTTGGTTCTTTGGGCGGAAGGATGCGAAAAAATGGAAAAATATAGACTTACTTTCAACGGAGGTGACTCCGTCTTGCAGCTACAAAAGCAAAAAATGGTAAAGAAAGGTGGAGAGAAAGGAGGATTTAGGCAACAGGAGTGGAAAGACTAGAGCAGTCATAAATCAGCATCACTAACAGCGTCACACCCCGCTAAAACAAAAGAAGTGCATGCAACCCCACTCGAAAAGTTGGTTAAATGCAGCCTTTCTGCAGACCACACATCCAATCCACCTTTGGCATTTTGAACAAACCTGCTGGGCAGTTGATGCCGCGGCTTCAATGCGCGTTGCTTTCTCGCCACTTGTTTTGTCGGCCTTTACCTCCAACTCCTCCTCCTCCTCCTGCCCCTCCACCTGTTCCACAGGCGGTATCGTCGACTTGTCAGGTGGAAATTTAGGCACTTCCCCATACTTTCGCCAGTGCATCCGGCATTTGGCACAGACGTGAGTAACCTTCAGGATGGCAGCATAGAAAAAATGAAGCTTCACTACTAATTAGTAGGCTGGTAACCGACCCGTCTTCAGACTGCCACTCCCTTACAATGCCTTCGGGTATAAACTCCAGGGCTATATCAGTGGCAGAGTTAACAAACTCTCTTGCAGTTAAACACGCAAAGCAAGTGAAAAAAAAGGACTCGACCTCATACGATAATTTCAGTAGTTCAAACTCAGAGGGAAGGATCAGGGTGTATCGCTAATGCATTAAACCTATTTTCACCTACTTGCAATCACATAAGTAGTATGCTATCGAGGAGAATAAGTGATGAGACTAAGAGGACTTACTAAGGGCCTCTCCACACCCGCTTGGTGGTGCTTCTGAGTCATTGTTGATAGTGGAGATGGAGACTCGATGGGTTCAGCACAGCAATTCCGGCACAGCCGCACAACTTCTGTCGAGTCTTCCGATGTCTTGGAAGGCTCTTCACCTTCGTCAATCACGTCCGTGACGACTGCAGCCATATCGGCTGGCGAGGCAGCAAGATCCGTCCGCGGTGCTGAACGGAGAGCAAAAAAAAAATAAATAGCGTTGATAGGAGGTCCATTACTGCTGTACAAGAATCAGAGCATCCGAGAATGGATGTTGGACTTACTATCGACTCCAGTTTCGTCATTCTCCGACTCGGGAGGATTATTGCTATTCATAACGGTTGAGTCCGAGCATTCTATCAACAGGGTGGAAAAACAAAGAACAAAATGAAAGAGCAGCAGAATCGCATTGTTTTATCCCCTCGCCTTGACACGCACCTATGATGCCTGTCTTGCGCTTCTTGGTGGCTGCAAAACCCCGATTAAAGTTGGCCTCCACAGTGGAGCCTCGGAAGGGGGTGCCAGTATTTACAGCGGCTGCAGCAGCTGCAGCAGCAACAGCAGCAGCGTGAGCAGCCGCAGATGTGATATTGGAAGTGCTTTTCCGCTTCCAGTAGTAGTAGAAGGTCACCAGTTGTTTAACCGTCTTCTCTCGGGTCGGCTGGAATAGCGTTCGAGTGGATCTGCAAATTTCACCCTCTCCATCTTTGACATCCTCTGTCTCTTCATCTTCAATCTCTCCATCGTTGGTCTCTGCATTCTTCATCGTCTCCTTTGTATCGCATTCCGGTTTATCGTCTTCCTCATCCTTTTTTATCGTGTCAAGTTCGGCAACCGCGGTTGTGGCGATCTTAGCATCCGCTTGCGCGTTACCCCGGCGTTTGCGACCACGGGCGTTACGAGATGTCAGTGCCTCGACAACCGCACCACCACCAATGCCGGTTATGGGATCCACCGCAGTAATGGGAGAGAAATAATCCTTATGGATAGCATGGAAGTTCTTCCCGTGGACTTTGATGGCTGCGTAGAACCGACGAACCTGCTCCGCCGTCCAGTGCTGAGGTGTGTCCTGCAATTCCGGACAATGGTGGAAAAAGGTGAAAAAGCAAAAAAAGAAATGAGGCTGAAAAGCAAGAAATAAACAAAAAACGCACAGAATATTTTATATTGACAGATATGGGATGAATGGATGGGTGGAATGGTTGAAGAAAGCGGAGAGGAATAGAGAAAGGAACTGGTATGAATGGACAGGAAAGAAGCAGTGGCGTGATGTTTGAAAGGTCACAAGATGAAGGAGGCACGTCCATCTCCCCACACCTCGACTAAGTAGTTCAATTAACACCGAGCACCTAACGAAGGATGCTTTAAGAAAATGCTGAAGGTATTCTACAATGGCCGCCAAGCAGCGACAAAAAATCGATACACGCGGAGCCTACCAACGCGCCGCTTATAGAACGCACTCATGTGGAAAGCACTTCAAGGTGGAATTAAATGTAAGGAATCTGTTGTTGAAGGCAGTCTCTAAGTGTGCAGTTTCACAATCGAACAGAAGTTTATTTTCACTATTTTGGGGTTGCTGTGGTTATTGCACCATCCACCACGTTCACTGAAGGTCAGCATGTCACTGATAAAGGCTAATCAGAGGTGTGTGTATGTGTGTATGTGAGAGAGAGAGAAAAAATTTCACAACTGCCAGAAACAGGTCACCACAAGGTGTAATAGAGAGTCAATCAAGCAGGTATTGCCGAAAGCGGCAAAAAGCTTTTACGCTTCAAATAAAAATCACTCAACACCCCCAAACCGTAGATAGTGGAGTGCGTGTGATTGCAACGACCTCGGTCTACAAACAAGAATGCTCTCTGAATAAAGGCATCCACTGACTAACTCATGAGGAGATCTTACTGAAAGGATATTTTACAAGCAATATTTGGCACAGCCTCCAACCCTCTCTCTCTCTCTCCCTACCTGGAGGCTAAAAAAGGAAGTCCATCGCCTGGACTACTGCCCCTACGTTGGCGGTAAATGTGGGCAAACCTAATGTAAACAAAAATTCTGTTATTGTTGGCTGAAAAACAAACCTAGACGCTGCGCCTGTGCAAGTCTACAGCGGAAAGGCCACCGGGTTCTACATCACGACCGGTGGTGGTGGGGAGAGATTGGCGCGAAGGCTATGGCCACTTAAAACACCACCCCGCGAACCATATCACTCCTCTCCTGGAATGATTTGCTTTGCCAGGAGACCCAGGCAGAACTACAAAGTGAATGTGCCGTTCTTTTGTGGTAGTAAGGCACCTATTCACCTCAGCTGCCGCCCTGAGACTGACTAAGACTTGCCGACGGACTTGCTACGAGGTAGCGTTTGACCATAAGAGACAATTTGTCGCCACAGGTGTTACCACTGCTTTGGTAAGGGTCCCGCGACTACGCAGTCCCTAGACGGGGACGACTCTGCATCATAGACAAATTTGGGGATTTTCACCCACCCCCCATGGCAATAGAGACGAAGTAATTGGAGACTTTTAGATTGCATGATGGACCGATAAATGACTTGACAGGCAGAAACGCCCCCTTTGTCAACTTTCAACCACACGGCGCGGCTTCAAAGAGATGACACCTTGCCTTGACAAGCGTTTTCCAATGGCATTTATGACCGTAGCCCTAACATTGAGGTTGGAATGATTAAATCGACCTCAAGTTGCGTATTGTTTAAGTAAAGCAAGAAAAATGATCACCCAACAACAAAGAAATCTCTTCTCAGCAGGTGAGTGGACGCAAATTGTGACTGCGTGGACACAGTCCACATCTTCCACCTTACGAATGCGCTACTACTTGAAAGAGAGACATTCGAAATGCCCTCCCCGCCCACCAGTGAACTATAACCTTCGGCTTGACGGACAAGAGAGTCAGAGGAGTAGGTGTGATTCATACGTACACTTTTTTTTCTCTAGAATTACAAAAAATACCTTTAATTTCAACCAAAAGAGCCTACACAATACGGAAAACACTTTCAAACACTTTTGACGAGCCAATCCTTCTTCAGTTCTGCGCAGACCATTAATTAGAGGGCGCCCGACCTACCGATGGTCACTACGGGGGTGAATTCCAGCTGGAGTGGTAGCTTGAGCAACAAGTTCCCTTCCGACAGTCAGGCGGTCCATTTGCATAATCTCAACCACAAACGAAATTCAAGCCGGAAAAAAAAAAACAACTTTTAGAGTGAGAGGCGTGAAGCCGTTTAACAGAGTCACCCAGACAGCGATGAAAGGGACAGGAGAAGGAGGTGCAGGACTTCACCTTGACACCCACCCTATTCAAATGTTGGATAGAGAGGATGTGGTGGCACCGAAGCAAAGAAAAAAAAGTTCTCACTATCCCAGAGGCGGAGCAATTTGCATAAAAAGCCTGCGGATTGAGTGGAGGTTTGCACCTACGCAGTGGGCAAGCTGGGCAAAGACCTCACCAGAAAGCAGTGGCAGCAGGAAAGGAAATTCCAGAGCAGTTTAATATTCTGCCTTCAGAGGGGAAGACGGAATGAAGCCTTGCGTTCATTTTGTCCGAAAAAAAAACCCATCTTTCACAGCCCGGTATTCCTCCTGTTCAAAGACGAAACTAAACGGGTTTGTGATGCAATTTACAGCAGCAACTTAGGTGAGGGTAGGAGAGTTAAAATGCGAATCAACAACTTAAAAGTAGGAGTGACACGGAATAGGAGTGTAGAATGGGAGAAAGTTATAGTTGAAGGTGAACTGCTCATCCACACACCGTCGGAACCTACATCGCCCATCTACCCAGGCAGAAAGTTGGATCTACACTTGGGTGTGACAGCAGACATACGTCCGCAGTCCAAAGTCTTCCACATGTTACTCAGCATGGCAACTTCTGGACCGGGAAAATCCGTTTTCAGATCCTTCCATTCCTCCATATGTCATTTTCGTCCACCCTCTGCCAGCGTACACTTTGACACGATCACCACTCCGCCCGTCCGGCGTCATATGACTATGTTACGTGTACTTTGTCATTTTAGGACAGATAATTGCACCAAAGCATGGCACGGACTGAATGGCTTTACAGTAGAAGAGAAAGATGCCAAATGTTCTCGGCAAGAGGGGTATGACAACTTTCTAGTGTGTGAGCAGCGCAGGGTTCGAGTTTCCTCTGAGAGTCCGGAAACAGATGTGGTGTCGAACAGAAAAAGGAGACATCCACCCTTGCCGAAGACTCCAAGCACCGTTTGTACGGTGAGAGGACGCTTGGCCGGACAGCGGTGAGCCATTTAAAGAGCATGGGCATTTCTGAGACGGACAAATATCTATAGGTCAGTGACAATTCCCAAGCCTTGGCAGCCAATCGGTGCATAGGTGCAATTACACAGGAGACAACGCCGAACAAAACATTAGTAATTTGCGTTTTTGACAGACAGAGGAATCAAATAAGTGTGCAGGACGAAGGACTGCTATAACAAAGCCAAAATTTTTCTCATCACATCACTACCTGCAAATAAACGTAAACTCCCAAAATGGATGCCCAAACACAGTACAGTCGAATTAACAGGTGTCGATTAAACTCCAAGGCGACTATAAAACAAAAAAGAGACACCTTCCACATCATGCAATTTAAGGTGCTTTTATTAAGCCCACAGTTTCGGTTTGGTATAGACACATCTCCAATTTGACGTTGAGATGGAGGTAAGACAGGTTAACTTACGAGGGAGACGACCGGGTTGTCGCGAATAGCCTCCAGTGCCCTGGCGACATCGTATCCACAGGCGTGAAGAGTGTCGTAGGCGTGCTGCGTGGTGGCAACCAGATTGGCAACCACGTGCCCGTTCTCCGCAGAAATTAGATCGTCGTCAGCGCCGCCGAAGGCGAAGATAGCAACGAGAGAGCGTACGGCGTCGAGGTAGGTCTTCAGCCGGCGATCGGTGAAGTCGCCTCGAATGCCCTCACTCTCGGCATCCCCTTCAGCTTCCTCCGCCTCCTCTCTGAAGGGCAGGGAGGTTTCGAGACCTTCAGGGTGCCAAATTAATTCCTCCCATTGTTTTGGGGGGCTTTCTTCAACCCGCAACAAGCAGACATGCTCGCAGTGTGAGGTGGAAGTACGCGAAGCCTCGAGGCAACAGTGCTGGCGTTTGAGGGATTTTCGTAGCAGTACCTCTGCCGCAGTGTTCTGTGTTTCCCGCAAACGGTTCAACACAGAGTTGTGTTTGTCACACCGATGTGTGATTGGGTGTGTGCCTCTATAAGGTGGCAGCCAGGTAGCCTGGTAGGCTGGTCCAATCTGCAAGGTGCAGAACGCATATTTAAAAGCACAGCTAATGGTAGCAGGGGACTCGTTCCGTTGAAGGCATTCGCGTTTCTGAGCATTAATTCCCCCTCCTTCATGAATCGAAGTCACTCACTTGAAGGCAGAAAGAGTTAATTTGAAATGCTACCTCGTATTTTTATTTCAGAAGTGTTAAAAGAGGCGTCGATTTCAGACTAATACACTTCGTACATTAATTTATTCAAAGGCAAAGCTGAACTTTGTATGACTTATAACAGTGGCCACCACAATGCCTCAATGATTTTTGTTTAGCCACCAAACAGGCCACCAACTGTCCAACAAAACAATGTACACATTCTGAGGGTCATATAGCATCCTCAACTCCATGACAAGTGACCGTGAAGCGAACACTTAAACAGACTTTGGACATTCGCGGCGAAAAAGTGGTAACTGGTGGGATCAGTTTGATCGATGGTCAATTCGTCAAGGAAAGTAACACAGAAAGGACACAAAGTGAGCGAACTCATGAAGGCATTCACTTGATTAACAATCAAGGATTGGAAAATTAATGTCTGTCATGTAAGCAAAGGTCTAGCCGCGTTGCCCGCGAGAACCCCACTTCTCTTTCTCCTCTTTGAAAAGCGAAAAAAAAAAAACAAGAAAAGTAATGGACTTAAAAACCCGTCAGCGTGGGAAATCGGAGGACGCAGACAAGCAAATTCTCACAACGCAGCGTGCTTTTACAAATTGCAAGGAGAGATTTCTACATTAGATGAGAATTCACGCATTGAGAAGCATTACCCACAGTATTATCTTCTCATGATCCGAAATTTGCTGCAGCAAAGAAATAAGAAAAACGACAAGCGAGCCTAATCCGGTAGTGAGGTAATCAGATTAATGTGGTTCGGGAAAGCTACACCGGCATTTTAACTGACCTTAAAAACCAAACAAATATGTTAATTTTGACCAGTTAGGACAAAAAAACAACACGGGCCCACCTTTATTTCAGCCCGAATGGAGAGCAGACGTTTCGACTCAGGGTTAAAGGCATAAACATAATAAAAAGAGTCCTCCACATTGGGATCAAAGGATTCCAAGGCGTTGATTAGTTCGGGGAACTGGGCAACAGAGCACTTGCCACGAAGGAGAGTGGAATCAATGGAAGTCTGCAGGTCGGTAATAAAAAGTTCCCGAGCAAGAATTCGAGAATCACCTTTGTCTGCACTCTCACGATCCAACAACGCTTGTTTGGAAACCTCAGGCACATCAAAAGTCCGCCAAAAGTACTTCACAACCAGGGTGCACTTCTCCCGTCGTGAAAGCTTGATCTCGTCAATTATTCCGATAGCGTAGCAGTCCGAGTCGGCCTCCTCAAAGTAGACGTAATCTGAGGGTTTATATTCCACAGTGGCAAAGACACAGGACTGAACACGTTCGTCCCCATGGTTAACCCTATCCGAACGACCTTTTCCACGGTTACTTCGACGGAGAGGCAACTCTTTTACTGGTTCAGGTGTAGAGGAGTCGTTGTTCTGATGAGAATCCATAATAGTTTCCTCTGCAGTCAAGGACGGTTTCACGGGTTCATCGTCACCGGTTGTCGGAACAGCCTCTAAAGTATTTATTGCGTCTGTAGCCATCTTCTAGAAAAAAGGGTCATTTAAGACAGAGAAACAGTCCCGACATAACTGAAGAAAAATGACTGTCAAAGGTAACAAAATTCAATAAGCCATTGAAACAACACTACAAAAAAATTGCCTTGTTTAGAGTATGAGATAGAAAGACGAAACTCATATATCGGATTATGAATTTGAACTAAGATAACAGCACCAAAAGATGGCTAGGTGGCTCAGCGAAAGCGGATGAATAGGAACAACGCCAACCTCGATCCTACCGTCGACCTGCAAGGTGACGAAGGGCCCGCTCCCTACGCTGTCCATTACAACGCGAAGGTTGTATTGGGTTGTAAATCCCTGAGTGACAAAAACCTGTTTAGTAATGCAAAAAAATGTAAAAAAAGCTTTAATTTACTTTTGTAAAAAGAGTTATGTATGTAATTCTTTGGGAAAAATTATATGAAGCAATTTGGCTAAATGAAATTACAAACATTGGTAAATCTTTGATCTGCGTAATATTACTTTAATAAATGAATTAAAGCGCTAAAATAAGCATACTAAATTTTTAAGAATCCACGAGTTATGGTTTTTGTTAGGTATTAGCCTTCGAAGAGAATGATATACATGTGACCGTCCGAATCACCTCAAAAGATGTGATACGCGTAGCCAGACGATTACACCTTTTCAAATAGAAACGATCTGCAAAAGCTGCAGAGTACAAGCGTTTGGATGCACTATAAGACAACTGAAAAATCACTACTTATTTTCCAAGATCAAACAACATGGAATGCAATTTTCAGCCATCTAATGGAGTAGTTTCTGTTGCACCTACAGTCTGCACAATAAGCTGCTTTGTTTAAATTGCCATTAAAACGCCTTTTGGATAATTTTAGAAGAGTCGAAAATGCTTAAAGTACGTCTTTTTATCTGTCTTCATTCAAGATCAAAGAGAAACTCTCACTCAATTCGCATAGATATCTTTCGCTAATGAATGCATTTTGCAAATTTATGAGGGTTTAATAGACTAGATGACTTAAAAGTGGATTATAGGTCATGCGCACGGCCAAAGATTCGCTTTAGATTGCAAAGCAGTGCATTGGATTTTTGTTACCTAGTATGAAGCTAAATGATGAACACAGACCGGCACCACATTAGCTCTTAATGCCACTTGAAGCACGTACTTACATGCACAAGGCCTAGGAATTCTAACCGATTGGTTGCTTCATCCTTGAGTGCTTTTTTTAGGCCTTTATTTGCAAGATTGACAACGGGAGAAATTAAGAACCAAAAAATGCTGCAATACGTATAATTAGACACAGTGCTTTTTGTATCAACGTGCACTGTATCAATCACACATTCACATAAGTCACTCTCTCATTCCTGAGGGCAAAGAGGCATGGAAAGAGATATTTGTCATCACTAAGGCTGATTGCTTTGTCACTTGTCTACGTCGTATATTTTGCTCCAACGCGAATTTGGAGATTAAAGCTACCTGCCCCCACATCATCAACTTCCCTAAGAATTGCATTATTTGTATTGCCAGAGGCAAGAATGTCTACCTTTGTATTTACATTTATAGGAGCTCTTCTATGATTACAAACTAGGTAGAGTCTATTGCATCGTGTAGGTGTACTGTTATTGAAACGTCACACGTGTTTTTTGTACCAGCGGTAAGGTAAACACAGTGACGCTGTAGGTGACATTGAAGTCCTCGGAAGGCGACCGCGCCGCTACCACCTCCACAAGAGGTCTCAAATCGCAATAGGCTGTTGTGCTCAGAATCACGTAATCCTATTGGCTTGGTGGCAACGCGTGCATGCAGATCTGCAAAGACTAGGTAGCACTCCAAGCAAAATACCGTTATTTGCTGTTGAGATTGCTTAGTGATAGCATAGACATTCCACTGCAGGCACCACACACGTGACGCCATCTTCTCTGCCTCGACAACAATTCAGGAACAAGAATCGAGTAAGTCATTGTCATTGTTATCAATGTCCTCCTTCCATTCTTCCCAAAAATAATTTTACATCTTTTAAACTGGAAGTTCTTTGTTAAGTACGTCTTTTGAATATTTCGTAGGTCTCAGGTACAATAGGACTACTTGATGATTGTTTTTAAGCTCTTAAGAGATAGAGGACTTAGTTTGTTGAGCTTTGCGGTGGCTACACACCAGGTGTGGTGAACAATTACGTCCCTTTAACCATTTATGTCTAAAGGCGGTAAGTTTATATTTTTCAGAAATGCTGCTCTTACTTAACGCGGTGTATTTTACCACAGAAGTTTTATCTGCGATAGCTAATTATTAGGTGTGTGATCATCCTTTGAGTGATTGGTTGAAAAGTTACAGCAAGAAAGAGGCAAAAAATTTCCTTAAATGTGATTGGTCAAACAGTAGCCAATCAACGGGCTGCATCACAATTTTGACAGACATTGGGGCAAAAAAACGGCGCTTAGACAGGCGAAAGCTGCATTTTTACAGCTAGAAATGGCCTCTAAACAGGATAGCAGTTGACACGAATTCCTACACAGGCCTGGCCTGCATTAATTTCTAATTTATTCAATTTCGTTAGAAATCCACCGCCTTCTTTTCGATGACGGTAATGAGCTAGGTGGCTGAGAAGAAAAATAAGCAAGGAAGTTCATTGTTTTTTCTAAAAAAAGAGACATATGGCATAAAGAAAGCACTCGGGGTGTAACAAAATCCCTTTAGGATATTATCAATTGAAACGTGAATTTTAAGACGTGAGACGTCTTCTCCACGATTCTGGTAACTGAGGCGAGCCCAGATTGAAGTGTAGGCAGCTTTGAAAGGCGAACAATGTCACAATGCGGGAAAAAAATGCAAATTGTTAACCAAGTGGCTTATCATATGCCACTGCTTGTAAAAAGCGGGTCTTCAAATAAGGGGTTAATAAATCAAAAACATTGGTTAGGAAAACTGAAAGAAAACGGTTTTGATGGTGGATTTTAGCTAAATGGAAAGAGAAGATAAAATACAAGTCAATCAGGAAGCTGTCAAAATATAGAGAGTACCGGTTGATGGCCGGTATCAAAACAACAAAAATGATTCCACAAATGGTAAAGAAAACAACGAAGGCAAAGGGAATAACGATGAAGAAATGAGGGAGCGATTGCAAAATCAATAAGATCGAAGCCGTCGTTTGGACAGATGGGTCAGGAATTTCAGCCAGCCTCAACCGCATCATCTACAGGTTGACTTGATGTTAGGCTAGTTGCGTTAATCTCCAGGATGGTCTCCAACCACCTATCATTTACACCAATTCTGCAACCGAGACACCATTGCTTGGAAGGGGTACTTCCAAGCACCTCACACGCATAGGTCAACGCCAC